TATGTACATGAGAGATACTGGTTTACCTTGTTTTGTTTTTAACCTGACTTTGATACTTAGAGTTATGCATGATTTATAGAATGTGTTTGGGAGTATTCCATTTTCCCCTCTTATGTTCTGGAATAGAATTGGTGTGTCAGTTCTTTGAATGTTTGGTGTAGTAGGATTCCCTAGTAAAATTTTCTGGCCTAGGATTTCAATCCTCATTATAGAGGTCCAGTAACTATTAAAGAATAGAAAGATGATTTGCATCCTAGCGAATATGTTGTAACTTATGAGGCAGAGGAGGTTTATTAAGAAATACTCTTGTGATCATCCCCTGTGGAAATGAAAGGAAGATAAAAAAGCAGGATTGAGCAGACAGAGAAGGTCTCAGTGAAGACCTCAGCCATCTCCTTAAGGAGCTATGAAGTTTAAAACTTAAGAATTTGCATAAGAGACCAGCCAGGACTTTCTGTCCAGTAATTGAATACTGGCTGCTTTAGCAGGGTGGTGTACGTGGTGTGTCCTCCTGATGTAGGCAAGTTTCTGAGAATTGACAGCTCAAACACACTGCTAGCAGCTATCGTGCATCTGCTTGGGAAATAATGAAAAGGGATCAATCATAAATAGCCATTATAACTCGAGTCTGTTATCACCCCAGAGCTTCTGTGTCCAGCAGAGGATAAGGATAAATGTGGATAATTGGAAAAATTTAAAAAAAAAAAAAAGACTTGGCTTCAGAAACAGTCATAATTTTGTCGTGTGAATTTATTTCAGGTTTGTTCAGCCGTACTGTGATTTTGGTCATCCTTTCCTACCTAGGAATTTTCCATCTAGTGTCGGTTCTTGGATGTTCTGGCTTCTGCTTTTTTGGTAAAGGAATGTTCTTCCTACAGAATGATTTAGAAATCTAGGTAATTTAAAAAAAAAAAAAAGAAATTTAGGTAATTTATATTTTGATGGATCAAGCTTTTGGTATTAAGCCTGGAAACTTTAACCTAAGTCCTAAAATTTTGAGGATTTCCTCCTGAAAATCTTATAGTTCTGCTTCCCCTCCTTTTTAATGTTTTTATCTTTGTGCGCCTCTTGTGCCTTGCTGTTGTTTTATATATTGCATTTAGAGTTGAGGTTCACATTTTGCCCTGTGGAAACATGATTATTTCAGCATCATATCATAAACCTTAACAATAGGAAGTATGATTCCTCCTATTTTAAAATTATTTTTAAAAAATATTTAAAATATTTATCTTTGATGTTTCATTCTTTTATGTGATTTATGTGTGTTCATGAAAAAACAGTGAAGTGTTTTTTCCTGTTTCTTTCACAGCAGTAATTATTACACCCAAAACATGTTTGAACTTCTCCCTAGTTCTTCCCTAATTTTCATCATCCTTAATCCTTCTACCCTATCCTGCCTTCAGAATATTCTTGGACAGATGCTGTTCTTTTAACCCTATATAGGCTGGTCTTTTTGTTTAACTTTTACTTTTCTTTATACATTTCAGAACATTAAAAAGAACATTATCTATTAAAAAAAAGTATCCTGAAGTGACAGTGGTTATACACCCAGGTGGCAGAAGTTTCAGTCTTTCAGTAACACATTTGCAGCCTTGGAAACCCTGAGACAGTTCTGCTCTGTCCTGTCGAGTTGTTAGGAAGTGTAATAAACTCAGTATCAGTGGGCTTGGGGTTATTGTGGAGCACTGGGACTGATAGAATCTTTACATTTGAGAGACATAATTTTGTCTGTGAAACACATTAGTAACAAACTTTTCAGTAGTTTAAGGAATTAAAATCTGGAACAGCCTATTATAAAATACAGAGCCTCTTGTACTTTTTTCCCTTAGAAAAATGAAATCTCTAATAAACATACATGACTATTTTGAGATTTCTTTGATATATAATTTTAAGTAATTGTAAATGATATATTATTATTGATAATGTGTTAATTTCAGGCTTGTTCATTGTTAGTATATAGAAATGCAGTTCATTTTTGTGTATTGATCTTCTGTCTTTGATTTTGCTGAACTCACTTATTTTTATGGGATTTTGAGGAGGAGGAGAAGTGGGCGTAGTCAGTCTTTGGGATTTTCCCTTATGTCTCTATAAGTAAACTTTTAATTCTTTTTTTCCAGTCTATCTGGCTTTTGCTCTTTCTTGCTTTATTGCCCTGGCTAGAACTCCAGGACTAGAAGTTAAATAAGAAAGTTGCAAGCAGATGTCTTTGTTTTGTTATTAACTTTAAGGAGAAAGCAGTTTTCACCCATAAATTGAATGTTAACTTGAGATACTCTTTATGAGTTTGAGGAAGTTTCTATTTCTTGTTTTATAGGTGTTGGGTTTTTAATTACTCTTTCTGCATCACTTAATTATTGTTATGTACTGTCCAGTTGGAACCCACTCACAGCTGACTCCTTCAGCAGGTTTTCAGAAGCGGTAAATTGCATGGGTGGAGAATGCCCATCTTCTGTGGAGCAGCTATTTGGTTTAAACCACATGCCTTAAGATAGTGTTAGGGTTTCAACCACATGCAGTACATTCCTTAGCACCAAGATCATATAATTTTTTCCTTGCCAGGAAATTAAAAGACGTATTGTGATGGGGAAGTCTGCTGTTAGGGACCTCTCCAAAGTATTGAAGTACAATGGTGTCTCTCTGGAGACTAAAGTGCATCTGATACAGGCCATGGTCTTTGCAATCACTTGTTATGCATCAGAGAGTTGGACAGTGACTAGAGAGGATAGAAGGAGAATTGATGCCTTTGAGCTTTGGTGTTGGAGAAGAGTATTGAGGGTACCATGGACTGCTAAGAAAACAGATTTATCCTAGA